CATGTCCTCATAACGATACTGACCACATGCAGACAAAACAAAGGCTCTTAGCTGTAACAAACTCCACTGAAGAACATTTTATGGTGTTTGTGTGCCTCGCACAGAGCAGTGTTCAGTGAATGTAGCCACTGTACTGTGTTGAGCTGCAGTGTAACAGTGTGTCAGGGGCCACGTGCTGCTGTGTCTCGTTGCTGTGGTGCGCCAAGCAGCAGCACAGTAGACGTCAGTAGAGGGCAGGACAGGCACTGGATGTCTGCCAAGCTTTCCCTCTTACCCAGGTCAAAGTCTGTGTGGGCTGATGGACAAAATGAAGAGAGTGCAGCCAATCCTGCAGCAAGCAGCCTCAGCCACCTTTTCACTTGTTCATCTAGACTCAGACTTTTAAGAGGCTCAAAATAATCTGCCTTTCTTAAAAACTGATGAAAGATGAACCACAGATGAACTTGAACTCTGTGTCACCAGTGGTATATAATGAGAGTATTTTCTCCATTTTATTTTTTGTAAACAACCTGAGTTCAGTTTTAACCAGCTTGTTAAGAGTTCCTGGAGTTCTTAAAATTATACTTCAGTTTTGAGCATTTAGTTGAAGGATTTACTCAGTGATTTTAAGCTAAGTGCAACTGCAGATTAAGCTCAAAATCCGAGATCACTAACATAGCAACCAACAGAAAAGAGTGCAAGGTTCAAATTGAAGTGCACGAATAACATTCCTGTAACAGCGGAAAAGGCGTCGCAAAAAATAAGACTAGGAATATGTTGGTGTGGTAAAGAAGTACAGCACTGCTGGGAAAAGTGTTTTCAACATGCAGCCAAATACTTATGTACGTTAATGCTACATGCTTTGTATTAATTTTTTGGCAGTACTGAATCTGTTGAGATTTCTTTTCACACTTGTCTGTGTATTACTTGTCCTCCAGCTTGATGATCATACAGAAGGGAAATATTGCGTTCCCATAACAATGCTTCAGAACTGTCAGCCCATAGATTTAGCCTTTTCCAGAGGATTAGTTTCATAATTACACTTGAAGATAAGATGCTTCAGAGCTACAGCTGTATAATTATCTCAAGTGTTTGTCCTTGGTGGCATTTAAGAAATGGCTTTTGCTCATGGGTGTGATAAACAGTGAATCAGGAATCTAAACATGGACGCCAGTTCATTTTAATGACAGCTGCTCACCAAGTGCATACAGCAGAAAAGTTCCTTGTATTTTTCGCATCTAACTGTGGGTGCACATAATGTCCAGACTGTGCTACAGAGATGTAGAGAAAAGCTTCACAGAGTGAAGTGCAGTTTTAGGTCCGTCCATAAAATTCACAGGACAGGACAGGCTGTTCCTGGAGGCTTTGGCTCCCGATGTCATGATGCAGTCCAGACAGTGTGTAATGAATAACTTTGATGACTGGCTGGGGGGTAAGGGCATCTTCCAAGAAGTGAACACGACACTGGCAGGCTAACTTGGTTCCTGCTTCCATGTATTTGTAGCAGCCATCATAATAGTAGCACCTTTTATTGGACCGGACTGTCCTTTCCAAAACCCCCGTGTGACAATTCTTCGAATTTATCCCCATCCTGCACATTGGATTATGTTTCTGTAGTCAAGGTGAAAGATCAGTAGCAACTGGGAGTCTAGCTTCCATAGCTCGATGAGGACATTTTGCACCAAGCAGAGCAATGTGCAGTAAGTATTCCTCAAGCTGTGGAATACTGGTTAGAGGTTAAGATCGATCCATCAGGTCAGACAGCACAAATTCCGATCACTGTGTGAACAGTTCAGTTCAGTTACGTGAACAACTACAATTTTTGCATATAGTGTTTCCTGCTTGACTTTCTTCTTTTCTGTGTCTGCAGCCCTGATGCAGCGGACAGTTCCTCGTTTGACGTCCAGCTGGGTGACATCATCCTTACTGCCACTGATGGGCTCTTCGACAACATGCCTGATTACATGATCCTGCAGGAGCTAAAGAAACTCAAGGTAAGTCACAGACATGTGACATACTGCTGGAAGTGGATTCAGATGTGTGTCTGGTATAAAAACTGAATGTGGCCTTTGTTTTTGCTCCTCAGAATACAAACTATGAGAGCATCCAGCAGACAGCGCGGAGCATTGCAGAGCAGGCCCATGTGCTGGCGTATGATCCCAACTACATGTCGCCTTTTGCACAATTTGCCTGTGACAATGGACTGAATGTGAGAGGTAAGTGTTTCAGTTTAAAAGCTACAAAACAGTATTTTTGTTTACCACTATCCTAAATTGGTCATCATGTTCTGCCTGTGCAGGAGGAAAGCCAGATGACATCACAGTACTGCTGTCCATAGTGGCGGAATACACTGACTAGAGTCTGTGTGGAGCTGTGACGGGGGGCATCTGCCTCTGCAGGTGATGGACTGCTTTGATTCCTGCTGGCCAGGATGTAGGACTGATGTCTGATGCTTCCCCCTCACATCCACAAACTCTGCTCTGCCTCACCCCCCAAGCTGAGCATCATCCTTTTCTCTTCTCTCCCCTGAAAACTCCTACATGCCCACTTCTCTGTGATTGTGCACATCAGAGAGTGGCCAAATAAAGCGAACTGGAGGCCAAACATCCTCTTGGCCAGGCTGCAGAGTTGGCATCTTTGCAGTGTTCCAGTGCTCACTGGATAATCCCATTGGCCTGGATCAGCAGTCATTGGGCACGTAGGAGATGAAGCTCCTATCTCACGAGGATAAGTCTTTTTTCTCTGATAGGTGGTTTGGACTAGGGGGAAGTTTCTGAGACAGAGGCAGACAGTAGGTGTTAAGAGTGTTAAAGTGGCTGCCTGCTGGGCTGCCGGAAGGGAATGATTCAGTCCATCAGTGGTGTCAAGAAGGGAACTGCACAGGAAATGGCAGCATTAGGGCTCAATAAATGGGCTGCCTTGTGCAAACAGATTTTCGTAATGATTCAGTGGTAGTTAGAAAACCTTTATTAAAGGGCCTGGACCCTTCTAAGTGGGTGCAGGGAGCATATGAAGATAGGACTAGTGTGCTGTTCTGGGATGTTCTGTTAAATGTTTGCAAAAAAAAGTGTATGTGACATTTATTCATCTGTGGTTAGTTTCTTGGGGCAGGTCGATCCAATACGAAGAAGAGCGGCAGCTGCCTTTTCCAGACCAGTGCAATTCAAGTCTTGCATATATTTTGTTACATAATGGGAAGAGTGTTTTATAGTTCAAAAGCCTCCCAATGCATATATATTGTGTCAAACTGATGCCCTCCCTTTAATCTCACAGCTGCTGCTGCTGAAGTCTTGATTGTGAATATGTGAGATGTGTGTATGAATGTGTGTGATGAATGCACTTGTGCTCGTCAGCATGTCTGTTGATATTTTGTGTCTATGAAATGGATGTGAAGGCTACAGACTTCTCCATATCCACTGGGCTGAATTGGTCTCACAGCCTTAAACGCACAAAGCTTATAGAGCATATCTGAAAAAGCTCAACACAGTGGAAGTTGGTCAGGTGACCAAATGTATTTTTCTAATTTCTTTGTTCAGAGGAGTTGTTCACTGCATTGGAGTAGCTTAAGAAACTGTTGTTCACAATCAGCATTTGCTTTTCTTCTTTCTCTCCCTCCTGCTGTAGAGCTCCAGTGGCACATTCATGTCAGGTCACTGCAGGTTTCATGTGAAAAATCGTCAATATGTTTCCTTTACATCACTACGGATTTGCACTCTGAATTTTCTGCAAGTTTTACCCACTGAAAGATGTCTCGGTAAAATACAGATTTTGTGTAATGGTATTATGATGTGCCTTGTATCAGGTGTCGTTGATACTGGCAAACATGTCAACAATTCCTAAACACCCCCCAAATATGTGCCAGTTACTGAGCACAAAGCTTGAAACTGTCAAGTAGCCATAAGAGTCAAAACAGCTTTCCCATCATGCCCTGCTGTCTTAACACGAGGTCTTTTTCACCTCCAGTATGTCAAACCTTTTTTCTCCTGAAATCTGCTTCTCTGCACTCAATCAGGAGCTTAGGAATAGTGACAAAGCCATCCCACGCTTCAAAAGTCCTCCCCGTGGATCTTCAGATCACTGTTTACAATCTGCACTAATCTTACGGACTGTGTCCCTGCTTAATCTGACAAATTAACACTGAAGACTGCAGTGTCAGGTGTCATTGTGAAGTGGAGCTGACTGGCATGGCAAAACAGATTGATGCAGAGCGCTAAGGGTCAAAATGTGAGTTGAGTTACAGCACTGAGGACAATCTAAGCAGCCTTAAAATGACAAAGCAGTTCTCCCAGTCCTTTAGTACAACCACTGTTAGCTTTGTGGTTCCTGCTTCCTGACTCACAGACAGCCGGACACTCTTCCTTTTCATCTCCCATCAACTTCATGTCTCAATCAGAGCCCCCCCTCCCCCTGGTTTATATATATATATTCATATATATATATTTGGGTGTACAGTTCAATGCAGATCTAAGCTCTGTGAAAAAAACATTTTCAATTCTGTACAATATTTAAATAAAGACTATAGTATTTATTATCCTGCTGAATTGCTGAATTTGATGGTTGTGATAAGAGTAAACCTGCAGTTGGTTTTGGTTAAAAACAGTATCTGGCAAGCTTTGAGTGTTGAACAATACACTGCAGAGGCGTTTTCTTCACAGGTGCAGCCTCGATGCCTCTAGGGCTGTATTTTCCCATCAAGACATTATCACATTTAGCTCTGCATGCAGAGTGTTTACCTCAGTGAACTCAGGCTGCTGTAAGGGCTAGAAGAAGCTAATGCTCAAGAACACTTTGTACATTTTGTGTATACTCCCACATTCCTTAGACATCAGGCATGCTACGAGCTACCACTAACAGACAGGTGTGGCATCTTCAAGCTAAGGTAATCTTTTCACAGATAGAACAGATAGTATTTTTTTCATTACATGCGATGACAATTGCATACAAAATTGCCAAAACAATGAAACAACACATTGCTTAACATATAATTACATTGGTGGAAAATGTAACAGTTGGCAAACAAGCAAAAGAAGCTTTGCGGTATAAACCGTAATCTTAAAATTAAATTTAGATCTTTCATTGTGACCATAGATTATTGCATATTGCGTAACTTCAGAGTTGAGGGCTTCTTGGATAGTCGTCGTCCTCCATATTCTCCTCTCCATCACTGTAACCTGCCAGGACAGGCAGCCCTGGATCATCCTGATCTGAGGACAAGGCCCTGAACAGGAGGGAGCAGATCTACGGGGGAAAAGAGGCAACCTGTTGTTGTGCATAGTAATGGAACATCACACATTTTTTCACAAATGAGTTCTCTTTTTACTTAAATGTGCCTTTTACCTTTTAATTTAAATGTGAAAGTAATCTGACCTTCTGTTCTTGCTAAATTATCAGTGCAATAAAAGCCATTAAGAATGCAGCATCTGGTTACTAGAGTCAGTCTGATAAGCTGAAACCCCCCCCCAGCGAGGGTGCGACCACATTAAGATTCTTCACCAAAACAAAAAGGATGTCATTACAAAATTTTTAAGACCGGTGTTTCAGCAACATTTTCGGGTTTGACTCCCAACTAAAGGGTTCAATCTAGGTGGTGTTCAAGTAAACCTGTAAAGCATGTTGGCATTTCACATCTTAACCTATCAAGACTGTAGAGCATTAATCTTCAGGGAACAAACAAGGGTCATGTGAGGATCCTGACTATTTTTTTGTTTAAACCAATAGGAAGCTGTTATTACTGTTGTGGAAGCAGGAGTTGTGCTGGCGCTGTGACAGGCCTCGTCAGGCACACAGAGTTCATTAGGAATGTCGGTCTGAGGCAGAAGTTGCATCAGAGCAGAGTTGATGATAGGGCTGCCCTGGCTGGATGCTACCAGCTCTGTCCCAGCCGCAGTATCATGAGGTATGTTGCTGTGTGCGTCGCAGTAACCCACAGGTAAGGCAGCAGCATCTACACACCTGGGAACACACACAACACACACTCATCGGTGATGAGCTTATTATCCAGAGCTAATGATCAGTTCCTGAGATGGCAAAAACAGTCCCAACACTGTGTGCAGTGTAATTATGCTGGAGAGTGCTACTTTCTTCAACAGCAAAATAATAATTCTGCCCCTGTGGACAGTAAAAACACAGTCTGTCTCAGTGAAATCTGACTCATGAGCATGTGAATTATCACTGAGCTTGGTGAGGAGAGGCGTTAGTTATACTGGAGAGTGGAGAAAGCAACATAACACGAAACGGAAAATGAATAGGCAGGGCAAAGAGGTGAGATTAAATTTTACACAGGACTAACAACAAGAATTTAAAAAATTGCATTTTTTTGAATAATTCTGACAGGAAAAATGTTTCTGGAGAATACCTTTCTGCAACATGATTTAAATGTCATGATACAAAACTCTATCACCTACAGTAAGTGCATTACTTCTAATTTGAACAGTTGGGTATCTGCGCTTATATAAAAATTGGAACGTAACATACCGTATTGAACATAAAGCCCCCTTATTAGGAGCTCAATGCAATAAAATACAGCACATCTTTCATTACTGAGATTCAAATCTTACATTTTCTGATGTCCTCCTTTATTAATTTATTTGGCCCTTTTCGCCTTTTTAGATAGGACAGTTGAAAGACAGACAGGAAAGTGGGGGGCGGGGTTGCAGCAAAGGACCATGAGCAGGATTCAAACCCATGGCCGCTGCATCAGAAACTATAACCCCTATAGTCCATGGGTTGCCAGCTCAATCAGGTGAGCTAAAGCAGCGGCCTGCCCTCCTTTATTTTTAGTGACAGACTCAATCCTCCTCAGTTAGAAAGACACAAGTGTTGTAACTATGTAAAGATGTTCTGTCATTCTTCAGAGAAATTTTATTCAGCTGCTCTTTGCTGGAGGGGTTATGTTGCGCTACCTCTTTCTTTAAAATGTCTGGAAAGAGTTCTACTGTCAGGCGACACACTTAGCCAGGTCATAGTTTTTACTTTTATCTTACTTTGACATTCTTGTGTGAGCAGTGTGTTTTAGATCGTTATCATGCTGGAAAGTTCCTCTTCTGCCAAGCCTCTGCAGACTGGAAATCATCTTGTCAAACAGTATTTTGGTATAACCACAGGCATTTATGGTGCCATCTATAAATGTCATCTCCCCAACACCTTCTGCACTCATGTAGCTTTATATCATCACACTCACACCTCTGTGTTTTGCTGTCAGCATCATGCATTCACTGTGCTACTTCTGGTCAGGTTTACACTAAACATGCTGGACCCCATGTGAGTCATCCATCCATCCATTATCTATACACCATTTAATCCTCACTAGGATCACGGGGAGGGGGCTGGAGTCTATCCCAGCTGACTTAGGGTGAAGGCAGGGGACACCCTGGACAGGTCACCAGTCTATCACAGGGCCACACTTAGAGACAGACAACCAAGCACACTCACATTCACACCTACAGACAATTTAGAATCACCAGTTGACCTCAACATGTTTTTGGACTGTGTGGGAGGAAGCTGGAGAACCCGGAGAGAACCCACGCTGCACGGGGAGAACATGGCGACACCTGGGTGTCCTCACCGAGATGCAAACCAGTGACCTTCTTGCTGCGAGGCAACAGTGCTAACCACCGATCCACCTTGCAGCCCCCATGTGAGCCAATAAAGATCAAATTGATCACATCTGACCAAAGAATGTGCTTCCAATATTCATGAGGCTTCCTTTCTTGTTTTTTTAGCAAAGTGTAATTTTGCAGCTTTGTGCCCAACAACAAGGTTTTCATTTTGTTTGTTTATTTGTCATCCATTGAGGTTGATGTTTTGCAATGCTCTTTACACTGAGCTGTCACAGAAACTCTTGTCTGACTCACTGGATGTAGGTTGTGAGTACAGGCCTGCCACTGGCCGATGATGTCAGTCGGCATTCTCGACAACTGTGATTGATTTTAAAAAATACGCAGTACACTGTACGTGGTATCATTTTACCAGGACAGCTGTGATTAGTAGTACTTTGGCTTGTTCTATACCCCCTGATTACTGCTGCAAATGTGTTTCCACTGATTTTTAGTTGTCTTTAGTTATCTGTAGGGGCTGCAGGTAACTAACCCCCCCCCCGCGACCTTGGTGAGGATTGAGCGGTGTATAGATAATGGATGGATGGATAGTCATCTATAAGTTGTCACTGATCTTTGTGTATCCTTTTCCAACTTTGTAAAGTCTCACAATCTGACTTTTTGTTTTCTCTTTTTCATCTGGAGCCAACTTTAAAATAATGCATATATTGAGAGGTGATACGTTTTTTTTTAATCATTTGGCATTTAATTGGTATTGCACAGAAGTGTACCAGCGTCTGCTGTTTACTACATATTATTTCTTTATCTTGTTTTACCCCAGCATATAGCATATTAACAGGCAGAGTGTCTTCATAGTGAGAGCACTTGGAGCTGTACAATACATATTCAATAACCAAGATATGATGTTATATTGTGACCCTCAACTAGATTACAGTTAAAATAAAAAGAGTAAGTAGGGTGATAAACATGGCAATATTTACAACTTTAGGAGTTGCAATGCTATGTAGTAGGTTCCTATCTCATTAATAATATCACAACGATTGTGATTATATATGCTTATAAAGACTGAGTTTCTAGCTCTGTATCAGCTGATACTGACGGTGGCCTTAAGCACAGTATGAGCGAACAACAAACAACTCTGGTTGTAACCACAGTACATGTCAGCAACGTTTGAGAAGCATGCAGACCAGAAGCATAAATAGGTACACAGCAGGAAGAAGTACAGAGAGCAAGCTGGTTTTCAAATGTCTTTAGACAACCTCAGGCTCTGTAGCTGTACTTCAAAAGGCTCCTGATGCAGCAGGCAAACACATTTAGTTATGAGCATGGCATGAACAACAGAAATGTACTGCATATATTCAGGAACAGTCCAAATAATTCATGTCAAAAGAGAACATAAAAGGTAAGAATGTCGTTGAATTCCTAAGCTGTGGGGACAGAGGCACTGAAAAACTGCCTGTTCATCAGGGCAGTTATGTCTCTGCAGTACCCCAGCAGTGCGCACAAGCAAATGCAGCTACAAATGACCCAGATGTTGAACAGTCTAGCTGGGACTGGTGTAACAGGACCCACCTAGAGGCCAAAGTGTAGCACAATAGAGAGCGAGCTAGCAAAGCAGGACAGTGACACTGGCAGAACAGCATAGCGGAGATGAGGGGATTACAAACTGTCACATTGACAAGCTTCTAACCCAAGCCCACATGTCCTGGGCTTGGCCTATATATCTCTGTTACAGACACAAGTCTGGCTGCTGTAATACTATGCCTCTTAGGAGGATAAAAACAGCCAATGAGGGCAAACCGCCTTGGCTGAGTGCCAGGAGAGAAGCTCAGGTAGAACCCTGTGGGAAGATTCAATTAAACTTTCCAATACACCTTGACTGTAGATCTGAGAAACTGGGCCTTCAGTTGTGACGACACTGCCTGGTCAAAATAAGAACACAATATATATCTGTGTAACTTTACTGGGGGTGTAATAACTGATCCCCAATATCGCCAACACAATTAAAAGCAGTGGGACTGGAGTCAGGAGTGTTTGTTACCTGGGTGTAGGGGGTGCCAAGGTCTCTGTCGGCTGAGAGGGGCCCCTGCTTTCAGAGTCAATCAGAGTAGCCAGCACCACAGTGGCCTCAACAACCATGTCCTCCACTGAGAAGCACACAGGCCTGCAAACAACACAAATGTGACACTAGTGGACACCTGACAATGACAGAAAGCTGTTTTCTCATTCTTCTGCTTTTAAATTCAGCAGTATCATTCATTATTTTATGAGCCATTAGGAGCCCTCATTATAACTGGTCACTTGTTAAAATGCAAAGTAATATAATGAACAGCCACAGATAAACAAAGCTGACTGTATTTTGCAATTGTCTCGTGTTAAATAGACACTTAATTTACACTGCCTGTTGCACAACGCCACACAGCTACAGTAACTTGAGATACAAATGTGACTCGAGCTAATCACAGTGGGAGAGAAACTTACCTTCCTGCAGCACCAGAGTGAACTGACACTGGAAGGCAATGTGACTCTGCAAAGGCCAATAAACCCTAACAAAAAAAAAACAGCTACATTTAACTGAAGAAAACTGGGATATGCTTGTGTGCATCAACATCATGACTATGACATTTTTTTAGCTGCCAAGTTTGAGAAAATTGTCATGATTGTTTACCATGTTCACGCTTAACAAAAAAATTAATGCTCGACTAAATTAAGGCAAACTAAAACTTAAAGCCTGGTTTCTAATCCATCCAAACCCGATTTTCCAAAACCGACAGGCACAAGACGACTAGGCTGGCTAATGAGGAGCCTCCCAGCAGGGTGTCAGAGAAACATTCCAAGACATTAGGGACAAGAGTTGTGGGCGGTAAAGCAGGTCAAGTCTCATTTTAACTGAACTATCACAAGGACAGTTTATCCAGATTTCCAAATAGCCAACCAAGTCCTTCTGTTTTGTTTGATAAGTCAGCCCGGTGGAAAGCATTTTAAACTGGGGTGTGTTCTTTTAGGCGCTGCAATAAACCACTTTATATTACTGAGCACGCTATTCTGGATTACTAATTACACTTCTCCCAGATCTCCAATGTTTTGCTGTTACTCAAACTATAAACAGTTTAGGATTAACTCAAGTTTAAACAGCCCTGAAGTCCAAAAACATCCCTTCTTGGTTTGAAAGTTTATAACAAACCATGCATGCATGTAAAGCCTGTAATTTTTGCAACTCATTACTTTAATTACAGTACAGCTTTTGTGTAGTGTTACATCACTTAGGTCAACCTACTTTGCTATTAAGAGGAGTCACAGCACTGAGAGGAAAGTTTACATGAAAATGATACAGAGAGCTGGGTACAGAGGCTTTAAGGACACGAGTATCCAGATTACAGGACCAGAAATATGACCTCTCGGACATGAAATGCGCTCTGGTGAGCCAACGTCACACCCGCATACTGTCTGCAATACACACATAAGGAGAAACACCACACGTATAATACACTCATGTGACAGGATAAAGGAAGCCTCCAAAAATAACCCCGTTACCCTCAACTCCTTCAGACAGAAGGTTATGCCCGAGTCCACTCCGACCTGAAAGTAGTCGAACTCGTCTGGGTGTAAGGACATTTCAGTGTACATCGTCTTCAGGTGATCTGTGACAGAAGCACACCCAATTCAAACAGTACCTACATTTTTAGTGTTTGTTTAATTGTGGTTGAAGAACTAAACTTGCAGCATTTATCCAGGCTTAGTCATGTGTCAAACTCAACAGCATCAGCAACTTTTAAACTGTTCATGATATCTGTCACTGTATTGCACTTGGACTTGAGCTGTATTAAAGTATAACATTAACTCACCCTTTGCCCCTTCAAAGTAATTTCTCAGACTGACTTTCAGAGGACTCATAGACAACGTGATTTCTTCTTGAGACACTGGGAAATGCCTCACCATATCACAGAGAAGCCTGACGAAACAGTGCAAAACAAATGTAGACCCACACAGCATCAACCTCAACAATGCGCACAGAGCTGTTGTTACTTCTGTTGTATTGACTGATAATATTTATTCCTAAGACAATATACTTTTGGTATTATTTATATCTAGAACTGCACAGAACTGAAGGTGGATACGTGTTCCAGGGAATTCATTTGACCCCCACAAGAGGTTTAAAGCAGCGCCAAAAGCCAAAATGATAAGAATTATCATCAATAATCAATAATGCATACACATTTTTAAACCAGTTTTGTTAATTGGGGTATCATTTATAGAAGCCCAATAGTAAATTATGTTCATCAAATGGTCAAATGACCGGGAAATGCATAGATTTCTGTCAAAATAGTAACACAGGCTCATTGCCAAGACGATCATGTTTACTATTGTGCACAGTCAGCCCCAGTGGCCAATTCTGAGCCAGAAAAAACTCTGGTCGGCCACAAGTAAAAAATATTATACATACTCTCTCTCTATTGAACAAACTGGGATGCTAAATCTAGGTGGCAGCCAGCATGTATCCTATTATTTTAATAAAACAACTGTCATGTAAGGATTAAAGAGGTTAAAGATGGATCTCTTAGACAAGCTGAGGTTCTAACTTCATCATCACATACTTAAACGCTAACCTGGCAGGAGCCTTCAGCACATTAGGACAAAGGTGTGAGGCAAACACTGCCTGCAGAGCCTCGCTTTCCTGGAAACTTACACTGTGGGTTTTGGTGATACCTATCACAACAGCAGAGAGAGGATATTTGGAGCACACTGCCACCAAGTGTTCACAACATGCTACACCATGCCTGCAGTATTGCCTTAACAGAGGTCATCTAGAGCATAGTGTGAAAAAACTCAGTACTTAAAATGAACAAGTGCAGTTTAAAGATACAATTAATTATATATAACAAACAGCATAGGTCACATATAGGCCAACTACCTCATGATATAAAATGCTGTGTCTCCTACCATGTCTGCAGAAAAACCTGATCATCACTCGGTCACAGGGAGTGCCGATTGATATCTCGCATTGTTTCACGTTACGCTCAATGGAAGTCAAACACCGGAAAAGTGGCAGCACAGACTTGAAAACAGATGGACACATTTTAGTTAAAATTGTAATTAATGTGTTAATATTTTAATTACAGAGTCTGAAAGTGAGTCTGTAAAGTCATGTTTGTGCTGTGGTTTGCATTCAGTCCTACTTTTATTAGCGTTTTACTACTGGTCATAGTGTCTCTCTACAGATGAATAACCAACATGACTGACATACCTTCATGACCAGCTTGCATTTGATTGTTTCACTACCCTGTTCTAGTGCTGATCCCAGGTTGTACTGGTGGAAGAACATTGGCGCGAAGAGGAAGCAGGCATATGCAGAATGAGCAGAATTCACTGATCGCAGTGCCAGCTTTAGTAGAGAGACAGATTCATATACTTCAGATATGATGTACTGTACATATACATATAATTAAAATATATCAATCCCAGCACTGTATTAATACACACATTAATTTTATTGTGTACTTTCCAATTATCATGTAAAATGACATGACAGAGATGAGTGGCAAAGCAATTAAGTTATCAGTTTCAGAGAGACAGAATTCCTGGCTAGCCCCTGGTTAACAGTGGTAGAAAGTAACTAAGTAAATTTACTCAAGTACTGTACTTCAGTACCATTTTGAAGTTGAAGAATATTATATTAATGTCTTATGAGTCATTTCAATCCATATAAAGTTGCTTTTTATGCGTACGAATTACTTTGTTTAAAATTTGCTAATTTTGCTAATCCTCTAACTGCAGCATAAATGTTAAATAACGTGTAGAGATTTTGTGTCCTATGTGAAAATAAAACAAAACAAAAGATTGGTTTGATTTTTGACAATAAATTTAGGACTGATGGACCTAAGAAAAAAATAATAACTTTATTATAACGTAAGTACAACAGATTAATGCATATATTAGTTTAACATAAAGTCAACTAGTTAGATTTTTTTTTTCCTGCTGGCAAGTTACTGTGTTAATGTATTTGATGCTGGTGTTCATAATGTACCACAAATCTAACATTAGCAAGGCTACATAATGTGTCTCACTTTGACACTTTCACATATGACAAGAAAAGTATTTGTTATATTTTGTTCACACTAAAAGATAACCCTCTATTAGACTCTCACACAACCAGTAGTTAAAAGTGTCTATTTGTATTGTACAAAAAAAACCTGAAAACCCACTCCTTTTGATTTTCTAACATGATCACTGTCTCTATGTTGTGGGGGACTTGGCCCTGTTTACTCCACTTTTAGTTGAGGACAATTTTTCATGTAGTTCATTTACTTGTAGTGGAGTATTTTTTACATTGCTGTATTGGTACATTTACTGAATAAATGATTTGAATACTTCTTGCACTCCACTAACTATTAACAAGGACATGTGACTATTTAATTCCAAGCTGTTGTCCCTTCAGTTTTAGCTACTCACCCCTTTGACCGTGGGATCCAACCACAGCTCATCTCCAACCCGGGACAGGGCATGAATGGCCTTTCCAAATGCTGAAGCACAACAATGTTAGCACAAAACTGTTGATTAAATACGTTACTAAAACTGAGAATTTTTTTTTCTGTTAATATAAATAAACCAAGCAAATTGCGGGCGTTGTGTTAAAAACAGTAACATAGGAAAAATGCAGCTAGCTATTTTAGCTAACTGTTATGCTAAACTAACCTAGCTAGCAGTTTAGTCCAAATTAATGAGTTTATAGGCTTTTGCCAGCTGCTACAACTTTTACCCAGGTTAGTTTTTAAAACGTATAATTACTACAGCGAGTTTAACTGTTGTATATTCGTCTAGGCTTGTTTATTCCCACCTTTAACACAGTTTCCATCCAGGACACAGTTCATCTTTCTGGTGGCAGAGTGGGCCACCTGCACGCGCACAGATGAAAAACACCCGCACGCGAACTAGCTCAGCTACTTACAAACAGAGGCTCGTCTGGTAGAAGAGGGTCCACTCCTGCTAAATGTAAGCTTTATTCTCATTCACTGCAACAAAATGGCTTGAAGACACTTCAAGTGACAACAACGTCTTTATTTTTAGTCCAAATTAATTAATGTTGCTATCAAGGCGCCATAGTTGTATTCCCTGGACAGATGTCACACAGCCACCCTAAAAAAAGAATCTGATTAAGTTGAAGGCGCTTAATAAAGTAGATAATGAGCATGCAGTGCAATTGAAATGAAAGATTGAATCATTTAGGAAAATTATGTTACCGTTAAAACAAATAATCACAATCGTATCTTCCAACGATTATCAATATATCATGAAATAATATTTTTTCAAACGAAAAATACACATATTCAGTGTCCGTTAAACAGGGTCAAATAATAATAAAACATGTATATATATATATAATTACAGTCTCTGGAAAAGATTCAGACTGATAGAACTCATGGGACTGGTATCACTGTATTTTGGATGGTACTAATTATTTAACTAATTTATTTTTTATTGTGGTTGTTTGTTTTTGTGTACTTATCCATTTTGTAAAGCGTCTTTGAGTGTCTTGAAAAGCGCTATATAAGTATTATTATTATTATTATTATTATTATTATTATTATTATTATTATTATTATGTCAAGCATATAAGTACTCCTAATGACAGCTATTACAACTAGACATTCAACTAACAGAACATATAAATGACACACTTAATAAAAGCAGTAGTGCTTAATTTGTAAAATATGTTGCTCTGTGACTGCTCACTATTTTTGTACAGGAACTTTCAAAGTAAATTTTTAACATCTGTGCATTATTCCAAAGGGTGTTCGTACAAAGATCAACATAAACATGAACACATCATTGAGGCCTTTAAATCAGTACACCCATTTGGTGTTATGTCTGTCATCTGTTGACTATTTTTGGAAGTATGACATCAGAATTAACTCTGTCGCTGCCTTTCCTCTGCCTTTGTGGCTTATTTCCCCTTGCTGTGTCCTTCTCTGCATCCTTTGTGAATGTGCTATTGTCTCTGTGCTGACGATCCCCGTGCTTCCTCCTGCAGGTGTCATTGTGACCTACGAGACACAAAACATAGCATGAGATGGATGGCAGTGGTCAGCTTAAGTTTCAGACATTTAGATACACACCTGACTGGACGCATGCGTGCAGCACATTAAGGTAGTGCTGCTTCATCTGCCGCCTCATGTGCTCTGTACTGTAAACGTTTGCTATACTGCAAAGGTAGCGTCTCTGTCCGGCCGTCAGGGCAGGATGCTGAGGCAGACACCAGAATGTGATTGCACATGGTGGACCGAAGGGTTTATCATGGTCAACTCATTCAAGCCATTTAGAGACTAAGTTTAAAATACCAAAAGGAAAACTAAGCAGATCGTGAGTTCCAGCATTATGCAATTACCTGTAAAAATGGTGCAGACATCATGGATTTGGGAGTGTGGATAGTCTTCATGTGCTGACTGCTAGCGGGCACATTTACATGTGTCCCTCTGTACAGTTCTCTCACCTGCTGATTGGGCAGACATCCAAAGCCTGCCAAAGAGAATCTGTGGTGTTGGTTTAACCAGCAGATTTTAAACATAACACTCCTTCATCTTGACTTTATCACAGCACACATTACTGATGCAACAAATCTAGATTTATCTATTTAATGCATTCATAAAAATTTTATATTTTAAAAATACATCATGTGGACTGTATATATTTCAGGTGAATTTACTACATAAAAACTGCTATCAAGTAATGTAGAACGTTTACTTTGTTCTTTAGTAATAATCAGAGATACCTATACTTGTGCTTTTTAAATTTGTACTTCTTTATAACTCTATTCCAATACATTTTATTGACAAATATTATACCATTAACTCCACATTTATTGAACAAATTGCCTGATAACATTGAGAATGCTTTACATACAAAACAGGTTTCTAAACAGCCCAGGATGTAAAGTAGTTACAATTAACTCTACCGTTCACAATAGTAAAATGCCAATTACATGTTAATGTATCTGTAATTATTATTCAGTAATATGACATATGTAATAATAAAAACGTTTTTGAATGGGCCAGTAATATTGCTTTTACTTTTGATAAATACCTTGTGTTTTTTTTTTATAAATTAGAATGCAGGACTTATCTGGTTTTGACTTGTTTTGCATAAGTAAAGGACATACATATTTCTTCCATCAGACCTGGGACTCACATCTACAGTATATACAGATATGGCACATACTGCATCATCTGTAAGACCTAAATGCTTCAATTACAGCTGATTAGCAACCAGAAAGGACTAGCTTAAAGGAAGAGGAAAAATGACTCCAATGTAAATCTTAAAGCATAAACTTTTCAAATACTTGGGTAAATGTAATGGAGAAATAGTTGAATTAGTTGCTGAAGGTATGAATTATTCAACAGCTAAAATAATGAGCAGGTAAAATATCTCAAAGTAATGTAAAACAAAACAAAAAACACAGACACACAAAAACCACACAAATAAAACAGCTACCTGAATGTAATTTATAAATGTTGAAAAGGATTAAAGTAATGTTTAAATGGCTGAAACAAATGTCCAAAAGCTGTTTATAAGCCACTGCCGAGGGAAAATGAATGGATAAATGTTGAAAAGGATAAAAGTAATCAGTAGATTGCTAAAATCTGCAAACAATAATTAAACAAATGTAAATATTGAGTGTTAGATTGAATGCAAAGAATACTGTAACAGATCCACTTTTATCTAATGAGCAGTGTTAAATAACATCCAGCTGTGGGGGGTACATCACACAAAAAGGTTGGGAACCACAACACTAAAAATTACATAAGCAGGCCATCACCCTGAGTCCAATAGGTTTAGTTATTAAATAGAAAGCAAACCTACAGTTACTTTTCAAGTATTATTTGAATTCAGTTATCTATTTTGAAATTCAGCAATGAAAAAAAAAAAAAAGGTTTATTCATGTCTACTTAGCATTTAACGGAATATTCAACTCACCATCTGTGCATCTGTTGCTAGATTCAGCAGACCTAAAAATCAAGAATCTCAGTTTGAAAGTGCATAAATCCATCATCTACAAGTCGCTGAATATATGAAGACCACAGTGGCAGCGTTACCTCGTTAAGATGTTACCACTTCCGTTTTTAAACAGGTTTTCTTTTTTCAGTTGCTCAACAAATGTAACCCGCTTCCTCATCATTAGTTACAATCCCAATATTTCCTGTCAATATGTCAGAGAGGTCGCTGGCATCTTTATCAGCCCAGTACGTGTTGCAACCAGCAGAGCCTATTAGTGTGAGATGAAGCCAGCCCTGAAATGTGACACTGTGCCACTGGGTTCCAATTACAGGGCAGAGGTCTAATATACTTGAACCCAGAGCGTGTTCTCATCTAAAATGTAAAACAAACAAAATTACAAGCTGCTCTGTTTACACACTTTATTGAGCATCATATCCAATATACATTGCATTGACACAAAATGGAAAAACAAAAAAAAAAAAAACCAAACAAACAAATAATGGCGTTAGGGTGGATTACCTGGACACACCATTTTCAGAGCGTATTGCTTAATGACATTTCAAACGCACCGAATCTGTGCAAATACAGTGAACACCGGTCAGAGGAGGTCATGGTAGGTTAGAAAATTCTGACTTAAAAAGGTAATGTCAACAACAGTTATGTGATCATCAAGTCTACGGAAATCTACGAACTGTACACATCACATTCACCCAGAATGTACTAACAATGGTATCCTATTTAAACATACCCAACTCCTTTGAACCTGATTGCATGCGCCAAAAGATGGTTAGCTATTTGTCAGTGTCAGTCACAGATCAATGTGTAACATAATTCAAAACAGATGTCATCATGGCTTAATAGTCAGCAACACCATCAATGAAAGTGAACAAAAGCCAATGGTTTCCAGACTCCACCCAAACACAACTGTATATTCTTTAAAAGTAAAATGTAGACACAGGATTGTGTTCATTTCCCAACAGAACACTTGTTTAAGTGGCGAGTTAACTTCAAGTCTCCATCAAGGATCACAACCCAAATTCAGTGATTAAGTAAAGGTGATAAATATTATCCAAGTATGCACCAATCAGAACTCAAGATGTTGATAGACGTAAAGAGCATTATTCAACAATCTACCCAAAGTCCTTAAGAGTCTAAACCCACAAGTGAATGTGTCTTTTACCCACACACTATTTGAAAGCCAAATGTGCCACGACAAACAAAGTAAGAACGACTAGCCTAAGTCTACCATGGAGCCCCTAAAATCCCCCATGTTCCCCAACAGATTAAGAACTCAACCATAAACCTGGTCACATTTGTTATCTGTTTAAATTGAGGTAAGCTCAGATGCCAGTTCACAGCTTAGGCTATTTTCACAGACTGTATTTGGTTGTCCATGATTTAAAATAAGTACTTCTTCGTTGGCCAAGAGGGCCGCATGTTTAGGGAAAGGATCAGGAATATTAGAGGTTAATCTTACTGATTGCTATTCAAGACCCTAAAAAAATCCTGAGAGGTTGGCACAAACCTTCTGTTAGCATTAGCTCTGCGTGTGCAAGTGAATATATTATAAAACGATAACTCTCAAATCACTGAGTAAGCCATTCCAATTACATCCACAGCTAGAAACAATACAGGACAGAGCTGTTTGAGGGGATCATGCAGGTTTGAGAGTCACAGTTTTAAACCTCCTAGACGCACACTGGCATTATGGGAGAATGATAACAGAAGACTGTTTCTCAGAAAAATTAAACACTGTATTAAAATTCTTTATAAGTCGCTCTAAAAGTTCTCAGCCTGTCCTTCTAAACAACAAGCAAACTGTGAGGAAGTGAAGCCAACAGAAGGCAACAGTGATTCATGAGAGTGTTGAAAATAATCA